GTTAAGCAATGCAGTAAGTCATGAGACGAGCCAACCCATCTCCAACCCTTTCGACACAGACGCTCGTGAGTAACCGCAGAGAAGCGTTTCGAATCGCGTTAGTTTTTTTTAAACATGAGCACCAACTGAAGAGTCTCTTACCTTTTACAGCAACTGAGGAGGGGCAATTAAAAATATCCGCCGGCGTCACCGTCTTCATCTGTCTGCTGGTGGCCGTGCTGCTGCTGGGTGTCGTTCACAGATTGAAAGCAGGTGAGAAATCAGGACGCGTTCAATGTCAGCTGGGAAAAAAGAAGATGCATTAAAGCATTCATTTAAAAATGTTTGAATTTAGGCTGATAATGATGGCTGTAGTCTCATTGTAATCACCCTGTTGATTTCTTTTAGGGATGTGGTTCTTCGAAAAAGGTAAGACGTCCAAAACAAATAAGAATAATCGAGGCAGGAAAGTGGTTTGTTTGTTGCCGTCTTGGCTCGGCCAGATTAAACCAGTTCTTGAGTGGTTACTGTGAAATTAACTCATGAGTCAAACTTGCCTTCTTTAACACGTTCTCTGCTGTGATGCTCTCTCTGCAGCCTCCATGCCATGGGAAGCAGGTCAGTGCAACGTTTCCTCTGTCAGTGCTTACAAAACAAGTGTTGTGCTTGTGAAGGGCTTTACTGTGACTCCTCTGTGCTGTATTTTCTGTTGACTGTTCTGTTTTTCACTTTCAACCTCAGACTTCTGGAGGAAGCAGGAGAGGTCAGGTAAGTTTCAGCCACAGTGACGTTTCTTTACTATTTCTTTTTACGGTGATGTTAAAGTTGACATCCGTATATCTATATTTATTTAACCAGCAAGAGACGCTGCCGAGTCCAACGGCACCACTCACAGTGACCAGAAGGGACAAAGTGACGGTAAATATCTCTTACATCTCCACGTCCAGGGTTTCAGCACATTTAAGGCAGTGTGTGACTCTCTTCTTTTGTCGTTTGGCAGAGGAAACACCAATGGCATAGGCGGCCAAACAACACCCAGTGAAGACCTGCGGATGCAACTGAAATGTTGATGGAATGAGAATATGCGATACAGCGCAAAAGCAATGACTAGATCAGGGTGCAGAATCAGTCCGTTGTTAAATTTTAAATATGTACAGAGTGAAATGATGCATCTTTAGGTGCAAAAATATAGGATTTTACGATGGCTTTAGAAGCGACAAAATGTTGGCAGTATTAAGGTTTGTTTAAGACTCATCTGTTTCTCTGCATGTTACTTTGAACAAACTAAACCAGATGTTTTCAGTGGGGAACATCTGTTTATCGCGCTATAACCTGGTAATATCGACTCCTAGCCACGTTCTTATAAAGTTTAAAAGACGCCACAAAGGGAAAGAAACTTTAGAAGAAAACGCAAATGAGAAAAGACACTTGATCTCGGCAGGGTTTCTGGATTTTCCGAGGAGGCAGAACGAGTTTGAAACAATACCAGGAAGCCCAGCGAGGAGCGTTTTCCTGCGATGGACTGCATACCTGACACCGACCGGTACCTCGAGCTCTTTAAACCACCGGCGGAGGATGATTTGTGTTGGAGAAGCGCTCCGGCCGCGGGGAGGAGCCGCGCTGACGGCAGCAGGAAATAAAAGGAGGCTATTGTGTTTGTTTGGGCAACAGTCGGAGGCTTTGTGTTGTGTTTTATGGCTGACTTCACAGCAGCAGCTTTGACGCGTGTTCGTGTGGGTAAATAAGTGAAATACAGAGAAAGCTGGAGCATTTATTTTCCTTGTTTTGTTTTTGTTTTTTCTGTCATTGAATGTCTGGGATTGTTTCTGGTATTTAGCTTTTCATTCTGAGGTTTCAATATTTTGGTTTTCTGTCTCTAAATGCAGTCGATGTAAGGGTTTGCACTTGATTTTTATGTCCTTCACTTCTAATTAGACTTCATTTTGTTCAGTTGTTTTAACACTACATGTTTTTTAAAATTGTAAAAAGCTTCACAAACACACACCATACTTGTATAGACAAGAAGCACTGACATGTTCGCATCCTGTTAACTTGTCTATTTATTGGAGGTTGGCATTTTCCAATAAAAACTATATATATATTTAGTGTTTTTATATGATCTGTGTGTAATAAAGCCAACAAAATATCAACTTTTTGTGTTGAAATGTTCTTTTTCCTCAACAGTGGAAACAAAAGAGAGAAAAATTTCTGTTGAAGGCAACGTTGAGCCACTAGAGGGCAGAAGATCCCCACGATGCAGTCGCTGAGATCAGATGATATAAACTGAAACACAAAGGCAGTTTTTTGTTGCATTTTATCCGTGCACACACACAAAAAACCCATCAAAAGAGTCATCATACCTTGTATTTTTCGATTATGGCGTGTATTTAATGGCACTAATAGAAATCTTCGTGCTAACTTTAAGAAAAATGTGCCTAAAAACGAAGCTTTAAATGCTTTCATTGCCCCCGAAAGAGACTGAGGAGCTTTTAGGGTTTGACTTTGACAAGCTACAAGTCTGTTGGAGTGGGTTTACAGTGAAGGAGTTGACAGGATAACCAAAGTAATGCAAATGAGGCATGGACTCCCATCGCACACCTCGAATCTTAACTCGCTCGATCTCACCGAGACGCTTCTCAAAACAGGTTCTTCTCAGGCCAGAACGACCGCATTTCTCAAACAGGAGGTTCGTCACACCCTCGGGTTCAGCTGTAAAAACAAAAAACAACAAAAAAAAAGTGGCGTCCTGCGAAGAAATACAGAAAAACAAATGAGAGTTCTTCATGCTGTGATCTGAAACTGCAGCTGGCCAAACAAGAGAGCTTCACAAACCCATCTGTAAATCCTGGAACGCTGCGTTTTGATCACGTAAACACATGGAGAGAACTATGAGACAGGAGAGTAAGGAGGAAGTTTGAATCATCATGAATATAAATCTAGATTTTAACTTTAAACTTTGGTCTTTGTTGTTACTTTTTAGTCAGTCATACACTAAAAAATATACAGAATGTCTTGTATTTGTTGACTTTTCTAGGCTTAAATGAAAAGAAAATGTCAAAAAACATAAACTTGGAAGATGAAACTCAAAGCCACCAACTCACAGAGGAGCAAGAAGAAACCACACAGTCATTTATTGTCCCATTTATTGTCTCAGATTGCTAATTTTGTGACATTTTGCATCTCTTTATGGCAGTTTTTTGGTTCCATCTTGGGCATTTTGATGTTTTGCTTTTCATTTTGAGAGTCTTTGTTGTCATTCTGCGTCTCTTCGGGTCATATTTTGGTACTTGTGCATCTCTGTGAAGTCGTTTTGTGGTACAGTTTGGTAATTTTGCACCTTTGTTCTCATTGTGTTTTGCTTTGAGGTCTTTCTGTGTCACATTTCTGTCGTTTTGCATTGATTTTTAATGCCATTTTGCCTCTTTGTCATTTCTAGTCTCTTTTTTTGTTGTCTGCTAATGCTTCTGTGATCAGTGTTATAATTCTAGGTTAAGCAGCTCTAGCACTCCTGAGCCTTTGCCATGTAGGCCATCGGGTCAGAAGATTTGGTTGCAACTTCTCATCGAGTAAAGGGCTTGTAGTATTTTAGCAAATGAGTAAACAAAGAACAAAAAAATTTCAAACAAAAACTGATCAGGAAGTTTTTTCGTCCACCAAACGTAATTTATTTGTGAATAAAAAATAAACATCTGATTGTTTTTCTTACAGCATTCGGACAGGTTCACAGTCATTTCTCAGCAATTATTTCAATCAAAATAAAACAAACATCTGTACATTCTGAATGGAAGCAACGTAGTCCCGCTAAAACTCGGTGAACATGACAAACGCGGACCTCCGTGTCGCCGCTCAGCTTTCGTTTTCCTGTTGGATCGAGTAACACTGCAAGTAAAAACGGTCGTCCTTTAACCCAAAAAAAAAATAAAGGACGACCGGGTCTAAAGAGTACTTTGTGGTGGTTTGTTGCTGCCAAAATGGCCGCCGGACAAGCAGCTAAGCTACATTAAAAAGAAACTGAATTAAATACAGATTAAATGTCTTCGTTGTGCTGCTTCTACATTAATTACAGCTAAATCATGTATGAAAGCTGCAGACAGATATTAATGATCTGATGTGAGAACCACTACCAGTAACTAAAGCGCGATCATACTCGTAGTAGTAGTCTGTTTTGTTGTTGTTGTTTTTAAATGCACTGACATGCAGTAGTTGTAACATTCGGTAAAATAGGAGTGTAGATGTTAGAAAGGCAGAAAGAGGAAAGTCCAGCAGGTTGCAGCTGTGATTTCTACGTATTTGTTTCATGTTTGGAATACAAAAAAATAAAAGAATGTTCTGGTCATTGCATTTAAAAATAAAAATAAAAAGGTCCCGCTCTGGGTTCACAGGAAGTTTCCAGACTCTCCACAGCAACCGCCCCAAGGACACGTTATCGAACTGTGCTGGACATTTAAGAGAAATCCAAGATGGAAATATCCCATTTACAGATAAAAACTAAGGCCTGATTATACTCAGTTTTGTTCCTGCGTGGGGGAATTTCTGCTGGTCGCCCTTCGTGACATCGAAATGAAATGATTTTAGAAACAGTTTGGCTAATCTGAGTTTCATTTAGTCAAGCATTAAAGAGATTTTTGTTGGTCAGAAATAACAGAAAACACAGATTTCTGTCCAATACGGTGACTCAAAATTGTAGTTTGGGGGAAAAAACTTGAGGCACACAACTTGTGACGATGATGTGACCTCGTGTACAGGAAGTCTGAGGGGTGGTCCGACCCTTAAATACGGCCTCGCTTCCTCTGGGGAATGATCCAACTAGCTTGTCCTGCCTTTCTTTACCAGCGGTGACAGCGAGGCGTACTTTACTTTCGCCTTCTGTTTGAGTCTGTGGACAGATTTTGAGCTTTACAGCGTTTGAAGGCCGAGTTGGAAGACGGTGAAAGAAGCAGCGGCCACAATACCTGGAAACACCCGGGGTTGAAAGAAACCAAAGCGCTCCTTTGGTTCAGTCATGTTTAGATGAGAACAATTGAAAAGATACTTATGGGGGGAATGAAAGAAAGTAAAATAATCCATCCTCTCTCTAGCTTCACTCCCACAATCTCTAGTAGGTGAAGTGGAAATCCCGTAAATGTCGTATTTCTTTACTTTTTCGCCTTCAAATTTCACTTTGGTGTCACACCTGGAAGTCCTGTAACAGCATCTTTTTTTTTTTGACAAAATCTGTCCACAGAAACACACAGGAACAGTCGTGGCTGGTAAAAATGTGAAAGGGTCTGAAGACTTTCCTGATTAAAATGTTTGTTCATGAAACTGAAGCACGCTGCCATCTTGTGCTTCGCCGCATTATTCATTAAATGTCTTCTTCTTCTTGTCACACCTGATCGTCGCACACAGACACAAACCTCCCCCCAGACGTCAGACACAAGCTGACTTGTGTAGTGCAGGAAGGTTAAGCAGCAGATGAGGCACTTTTATGATTAAGGCCAGTGCTGAACACGCCTCTCCGTCAGAGGGCAAAAAACGATTGATCCCACTCAGTCTGAACGGCTTATTAACACAACTAGATAACAGACAGCAGTTACAGGGCGACACACATCCCTTATCTTTATGATTTGGCACTTTTGCCGTTAGATAAAGGCTCTGCCTCTGAATTTTCAGCCACGGGGCTGAGCTCAGTGGGCGTGGCCTGGTCGCCGGCCCCGCCTCCTCCCCCGTCCCGGTTTCTGTAGTGACGGACGATGACGACAGCAGCGCACACAAGGTAGACGACGGTAAGAATGGCGAAGTAAATGAAGTAGACGATGAACTGCAGGAAGGAAACAGAATTCATTCAGATACAGATACACATTCACCTCCAATCATTTCCAATGACATCCGGAAAGGTTGTGCGCACTTTCTGCATAAAAGTAAAGCACGTGCAATTCACAGACTGTGAGAAACCAAATGATCTGTTAAACGGTGCAACTGTGAAGCCACGACAGGTGTGTCCAACAGTCACATGAGAAAAATTCAGAAATGTTTCGGCTGAATGTAGAAGACAAATTAAAAATGTAAATTATCTAAAGTGTGTAAAGTCCCAGACTTTTCTCCAATATTGGACCTCAGCAATTTCCCTGAGGTTTTCACCAAAGGGATCAATAAAGTTATATTCTATTCTATTTCCTCTATTCTATTCTACATGTGGGCACTTGGAAAAATGTTGTACATGGTGATTGCAGGTTTTTTTTTTCCATTTCTGAAAAATAATTAATAAAAGAAAATCTTTCTCTTTTTTTTTTTTTATGACTTACGACCTTTTAACTGTGTTAAATGGTACAAATGACGTTGAGTTTTTGAGATTTTAATCATTTCTAGAGCTCGACCCAAATAGCCGAATAGCCAACTATTCGCTCGCTGTGCTGGTATCAGGATATCATACCGTATCCGGATATTCGTCAGTAATTGGGCCGAATATCCGGAGACAAGAAATTGCTATTCGGACCAGGCCTAATCATTTCAAAAGGAGAAATTACAACAAATTAATTATGAGAAAACGAGTTAGAGGCTTTTATTTCTGTGCCTACAAGCAGGAGTTTTGTCGCAACAGATGTCATACTTCAGACACGTGATTCAAACTGGTGTCACCAAATCAACTGATTTGAAGTTTTCAACTGTGAAAATAACATTTCTTAAATGTTTCGCAAATTAAAAATGTGATTATTTGTCTGAAAATGGAGCAACTTTTGGTCAGAATCGTTGCTGCTGCTTCGAACTAGTTTCACTAACACGGAAGTTTGAGAACATTTACTGTCACACTTTTATTAATCTATGGCAATATCAGGAGTACAAACATGACTTTTATGTTTCTTGTCACTCTCGTTGCTCAGTTTCTGATGTAGAAAAATCTCGACGGTAAATTGAGATGTGTGACTGGCTTCTTCACGTTTCGACATGTTCGACTGATGAGCATCTCGTGTTTCTCGCAATGCAACACCGTTTGAAATTTCCTTTACATGTCAGTTATGCTCAACACATAACGTCGCCTTCCCCTGAGGTGTATGCTCAAGTTCAAGACTAAATAATGTAAAATCTGACTTTGCTTTACCTGAGAGCCCACATCCAGCGCCAGACCCCTCTTGTCAACAAATATCAGGCTGATGATGGTCTTCAGTATCGTCCCCAGGAAGGTGTTGATGCCGAACACCAGGGCGCAGAGCTCCTTGGTGAGCGACGAGGCGATCTGGAAACTACAGACACACAGCTTTATGAACAAAATGGATCCACTGGAGCAAAACCACATATTTAGCAGAGATTTTAGAATCGTTCCTTCCATTGTCATATTTTTATATATCGTGCCAACATCACCAGAGTCGATGAAAACCTCCTTTAACCCCAAAAATCACCGGCAGCTTTGAAAGGCGTGTTTTGTTTTGTTTTAAAACGGCTTAAATTACACGATTAATCAGAACCAGAAACTGTAAAAACAGGAAGAATCATCGCATCTCCAACTTTCTGACTGTACATACAAGGTGTGTCAGAAAAGCTCCAAGACTCCAGTCACAAAAGATAGATTTCAAACTACAAACTATGAGATTTTCCCTTCAGACCATCAACCAGCACGTCTACAAAGAGATCCTGCAGCGTTTGCTTTGTTCAGAGAAGAGGCGAGAGTTGTGACAGGACGAGTCGTGGCTGCTCCACCACGACAACGCCCTGAGCATCCCACTGTTCCTGGCTGACAAGAACATCTCCGTGCTGGAGCAACCTCCCTACTCACCCCACCTGGCTCCGTGGGATTTTCTCCTCTTCCTTAAGCTCAAGGGGGTCATCAAGGAGACCCGTTTAGAAGACATGGAATCCTTCCAGGAGTGCATGGCGGCGTGAAGAGAAGGCTGAGAAAGTGGGTTAGACTCCAGGGGGATTACTGCGAAGGGGAAAACTGGTAGTTTGGATTTGAAATACATCTTTTGTGACACCAGTCCTGAAACTTCTCTGACACACCTCGTATCTTGCCTGACTTTTGAGTTCATCTGGAAAATTTACCAGATCTAATCCTAAAACTGGGATATTTTATCCGAATCACTGTTTTACATGTTTCAGATTCTGTACAAAACTAAAAATTCTGCTCTACTTGGCAGAACTGAACCAACAATGACTCAGCTGTGAGCAAAAGCCACATAAAAAAGGAACTTTGTAGCTGAGCTGCAGTTTTTGTTGACACAGAGCAGACAGGAGACGAGTGTGAAAACAAATTTAAAATGTAAGTTGTAAATGTTAAATTATTACGGAGGGCCACTATGTTGTTTCTGGTGTCGTTAACAACTGTGGACTCTTGGAAAAATGTGGCACGTTTTGATTTCAGGTTTGTTTTCAACTTTCATTTTGTCATTTTGTAAAACCTATACAGTTATAATTGTGCACAAAGGGCATGTTTTGGTTCTGTTTTCTTCTAGCTGTGGTTGTGCTGTTCCCACAGAGGCACTGCAGTGAAAATGGGGGATCACTGAGTAAAAATGTGACGCCCAGAAACTGCTTGGACTTCAACACGATTGATGTTGTAATCACAGAATAACATGCATCACCTCCTCATAAAGGAGACAACTTTCTACCACAGTACGAGCAAAACAGCTGCATCACTTGTTTTCATGAGGAAACAATACTTTTCATTTGGCACTCACGTGGCGATGGGCACCAGGAACTGGTAGAAGCTCCTGAAGAGGACGTAGGAGACGTAGCAGACCCAGATGTCGCCCGTGTTGCCCATGAGGAGCAGCAGACCGGCCTGCACCCCCGTGATCACGCCGATGACCAGCTCTGACCACACGTTCCACCGAATTTTAATGTAGCCCGCCATGAAGGAGGCGATCGCGCCTGCAAAGAAAAAAATCCAAACTGTTAGTCAACACAACTCATCAGTAAAGCGATATTGTGTCAGCTGGGCTCTCTCGTCTTTACTTGTTGTATCTCTCAGGACATGGATTTGCCTTCACTGGGTCCATTTTAAAAACAGCTCTTTTCCCCAACTGCTTTTATTTATCAAGTACTAATTTATAAAGTCTGGTTTAAATTCCCTGCACATGTAATTAACTTGTCTCTGCACTTATAGACTTCCTCTTTTGCATGTTTTCTTACCATCAATAAGTTTGAAGTATTCAACTTGTCTGCACAGTTTTTATTTATGCATTTAATCTAATTTTACGAGGCTTTATTTTATCTACGATACTTTCCTGTATAAATAAGCCTGCTTGCTTTTAATATCGTCACATTTTCGGGGTGTAAATCACATCACTCCACTGCCACCTCTCCCCACTGCAGCATTTGCTTTTAGAAAATATTTACATTCGACAGAAATCAATCTGTTCGTGTTATTAATACGTTACACAGCGACTGAGCGACCAACCCTGCTGCTTATCGCTCACCTGCTTTCAGGTCTCGTCCAGTAATTAAGCTTTTATTGCTTCACATGACATCGAAGTGATTCAAACAAATTGCTACCTTTGTGCTTTACGGCTGTTTAGAGGGCGATTACGGATACGTCAACATGAAGTAATCACCTCACAGAGGCGATTATTCAACCTCTTTGAAAAAGGTGACGGTGGGTTTAATATTCTTGACATTTTTATGTTAAAATATGCAAACATTTAATCACTAAATCTGAGCTGACTTTAGGACAGAGGAACCCTCTGAACCCCAGATCTCACTGGTAGGTCTCAAATACATTTTAGTTTTTGTTAAATCGCTATAATTTCTCTATTTATCAGAGCAGGAAACTGAAACAACAGCATGAACAGTAAGACTTAGACCTTTGCTACAGATCCAAATGCTTTGACCAAAGTCTATCAAACGGAGACTTAAAATCATTTAACACCAATTTTAAGATTTTTTTTTTCTTCGCCTACATCCAAAGTCCTTTGCAGAGATTTCTACCATTAATGTAAAGCCAAATACTTCTCCTGGCCTTCAGCTGCAGCTTCTAAAGTGCTGTTAGCTGGACGCTGCATGTGAAACAAAAAAACTGAAGCACACCCAGCTGAGCATAAAACAGGGATTCAAAATGAATGCCTGAAATTCTGTATCTCCAGAAATGTCTCACTCAGTAGGGTAGAAGCTGCCTCCACTCCCCCGTTGTAAACTTTCTGGTTGTCAGACACTTTGCTCCACAGGATGTGCACGTAGAACAGCACGAGGTAATACCCCGTGGAGTTGAACACCCACCACAGCGACCAGAGTCTCAGGTTGGGCCTCTTCACCACGTTTCTCAGCTCCAGCAGCATCGCCACAAAAACAGAGTGTTTCCAGCGTGACGCAGAAACTCCCTGTTTGGGGTTCATTTGGTCCAGTTCGGATTTAGACACCACTGGTGCCAGCTCCCTTTGCTCCTGATTCTTTGTCCGGTTGAAAAACAGGGAGCGTTTGGGCCACGGCAGGCACAGCGCGAGCAGCAGGCCGAAGCTGACGAACCCCAGCGAGATGGCGTTGAGGGTGTAGAAGGTGATGTTGCCCAGAGACATGCACAGCTGTCCCAGCGCAGAGCTGATGAAAACCCCCAGCAGGGTGGAGGCGCGCGAGTATCCCGCCACGCGCTGGTACATGACCGGGTTGACCAGCGAGAAGATGTAGGAGGAGTAGGCCACGCGGCAGGCCATGGTGATGCCGTAGAAGAATTCCATGAACTGCATCTGAAGCAGCGTGGTGCCCAAGAGCAGGAGGACCCAGATGGCCACTTGGCTGAGGCCCTGGAGGACCAGGACCGGCTTGTAGCGCAGAAGATCCGTCAGCAGGAAGGTCGGCACCAGCACCGCCATGTAGGAGTACGTCAGCACCGGAGTGATCTCATTGGTCACCTTGAAAAGAAGTCGTAGATTACAGTCAATTAGCGACGCACGATATCAACATTTCTGGCCGATATCCGATGTTAGGGTTCTGATATCGCCGATAACTAATATTACCGATGTCGATATTCAAGCACAAACTATTCAAAAGAAACCCAAATTAGACCACATACGTAACAAACATATCTTAACATATTTAACATTCAAGTCCATTTAAGTAAACACATCTGTGAAATAGCAGCGATATCAAACGTAGAGACGAAGGCGCTAATGTTAGACAATCATCGGCTAAATTTGTTCATCGGACCGATACCGATGTGGTCGCATATATATCGTGCATCCCTACAGTTTATTCACCGTTAAAAGACTGTTTAACAGTATTAGGATCACATCTTGTTGCTGTATTAAAAAGTTCTGTTGTCCCGAATAACAAGTGAAGCTCTGCCTCTCCTGCCTCCCCTGACCGCACCTCACTGCAGATGACCTGTGATGGTGACGGCAAACATGGTCTTTTGATGACTGCAAATATAAAGTCTCATCCAAATGTCTAAATAATTAACCAGAGCTGGGTGATAGAGAAGCAAATGAAGACCAAGAGTCTTTAGATATTAACATGCAAGCGACAAAAAAGGTCTGAGAAGCATGTCTGAATTAATACCACAATGCTGATACAAATACAACGCATCTGCACCTACACACAACATAAACTGGATTTACTTTGACGCCCTATTTCCACGTCATAAAGACACATTTCCAGGAAACAATAACACAGGACGAGATCGACAGCATGCCGCCGGACACTATCAGAACACCAGCTCAATAACTTAAAAGTCGACTTTTAAATTGTTTGTGTGATTTCCCCGACACCTCATTTCTCAGTCTCAGTATGAAATCTGTCTGGCAGACTGATCAGGTTCCACAAAGACCCGCTTATTCCCTGGAATCTGCTAAATACGGGGGGTTTATGGGATGGAGCTGCAAATCTGTCGTTGTGGTCCTACAAAGAGTGTTTTTCCACATAGGTTGGCTGATAACCAGCTGTGAGTATGAGGTCACGGTCAATCAACAAAAAAAACAAACGAACTGGCAAACGGAATAGTGATTACACCCACTTTCACCAACCTATTACACTGACCCACTTTGGAGGAATGCGAACTATGACCACGGTAAGACGGATCAGTAAACTCCCCACGGGGAACTCATTAAATCCTCTGAGCAATAAGTGCACAGAGGAAAAACTTGTTAAAGAGTCTTAGAGGTCAACTTTCTGTACAGTTTTACTTCTATGAACCTCCTGACTGAACTCTAAAGTACAGTGGCATAACTGAGAGGTCTTAATTATTAGCTTTTCAGCCAGTCCCAGCTTGTCTTGCTGGGGATGTCACTGACCTGCACCCTGGTGAAGTTCTTCTCAGCGCTCAGCAGATACGGCGTAATAAAGGGCTCCCCAGGCTTCACCGATGCCATGAAGCCGTACAAACACAAGAACATCACGGCCCACTTCCACTTCTTGGGACTCCTGGCTTCCTCCGTGGGATCCTCAGAGCTAGCCGGAGCCTCACGGGCAGACAAACCCATCTCTGCATCCCCGTCTTCATGTCCTTTAGTGTCTCCAGATGCAGGCACTTCCACATCCTTCTCCCCCTCCGATCGGTCTCCACTCCCCGCCGTGTCGTCCGCTGCCATTGTGTCGAGCAACTTTTGCTGCTGTGTCAAATCACCATGTGAGGATTTGTTTCGATGTGAAAAATAGTTTAAAAAAAAAAAACAAAAAACAACTCTTCTGCCTCTCTGTGTCAGAGAAGACTGAAGAACGAACCGTGTAACAGGCTGAGGTGGTTAAAATGCAACATGCTGCTGCTGCTGCTGCTGCTCGCATGTAAGAAAAAACGTTGACCTTCGCTCCTTTCCACACTGTGACATTGTCTGACGGCAAGCTATCCAGCAGCCGAGTCTGGGATCATTGTTAACCTGAAAACACAACAATGCCGTCAGTTAGTCGCACTGTTCTGTCACTGGAGGGTTCAGACCGCTGACATTAGTGCACGGACCCAGAAAAACATGCTGCATTTTGAGCTGTCATTATGAAGCTGAATATTGTCTTTAGTTTACTGTTTGCTCCTGTCCTGTTCTAGAGCTGCAACAATTCATTGATTCACATTTTTCAAGCAAAAGTGTCCGCTAATAACTGGCTCCAGGCAGTAAGCTGTACATATTTGTCTTTTTGTCTGCTGCCTGAGAACAACAAGGAAACTAAATGAGATCTAAATGTCTTGATTGGCCAGTATTAACAGCTGATTTGGCTTATTTACAGATAATAATGCAGAAAAATATGCTTGGGGAAGCAGTGTCTCACTCCACTAGAGTCCAACTGACACTAATGTTTTGGGGCCGATACCGATTTTAGGCGATAAGAAACTGATAGCAATGAATCGATCAACATTGCTCATATTTATGTTCCAGTTAAGGTGAAAAAGGAAAACGATGGAGTCATTGTTTATTAACTTTCCAGCAATGTATGACTAGTTATGAAGACGAAGCTCGACTCTGCGCCACCATCCGCTCTGCTACGTGTGCTGCAGACAGTGCTGAGGGTGTTGTAAACAATGGAGGTGGTCTAAAATACCTCAAGCATCTTTATCTGTGTTATGCTCTGAAAAAGAAGGAAGACATCTATGCGGATACAGACTTATCTGCGTGAAGCCAGTATCATATGAAAATATCAGAATTAGATACGCTGCTATTGTAAATACTCATGTTTTTATATCCATTACATACCTACTGTCACTTATTTATTTCTTATATATACATCTACAGGCTCCACAAACGTCTTGGTTTTTTTTAAATCATGCACAGTTTGTTTGTTAATTTAGAGTTGTTCTTTGCACTGAATGGGATTGCACCCAATTTTGTTGCACTTTTATTTTGGTAGAATGACATTAAAGGATTCTGATTCTGGGCTGCAAAGGTGGAGCGGTGGTTAGCACCGTTGCCTTGCAGCTGGAAGGTTGCCGGTTTGCATCCCGGTGAGCTTGCATGTTCTCCCCGTGCAGTGTGGGTTCTCTCCGGGTTCTCCGGCTTCCTCCCACAAGGTCCAAAAACATGTTGAGGTTAGCTGATGATTCTAAATTGTCCGTAGGTGTGAATGTAAGTGTGCTTGGTTGTCTGTCTCTAAGTGTAGACAGCTGTGTGAAGTCAGCTGGGATAGACTCCAGCCCCCCACAAGTGAGGATTAATACTTTCACATGTGGGAGGCAATTCTTTCTGACATGACTGACAAAATCAACAATGGACATGAAGCCCGACTTGCGTCATCATGAGTAAAAACACCAATAAATGCACTGACAAGAGGAAGACGGAGCCAGTGCATTGTTAGCATTAGTCTCCTAGTTGATTATCCAAATTGTTGTCAGTGTATTTTCTGTCAATAAAGAGAGATCATTTTGAACAGCTTCAGCTCTATTGTCAAACAAGTGTGACAGCGTCTGCTGGATAAAGCTGCTGTTCTCAGCTACATTTCTAATTATTATAAGTGATTCAGAAATTCTGTCTCTTTAGTGCTACTTGCTAGTGAATCATAGTTTCCTCCTGAGGACTAAAACAGTCGTGTGGAGATTTTTAAGCAGCAATGCAAACAAGTTACACAAGTGGGTTAGCATGTCAGGGCAGCACACACCAGCGGACACACACACACACACACACACACAAACACAGCTCAACTTGCCGTTAGCTGCTAACATGCTAAACCTGACCGCAGGTGTGGGTCACAACGACCACATTAAGTCACCGCATTGCACAACATTTACAACACAGGTGCGAAGTTGGAGCTAGCAAGCTAGCTGGCTGGCTAACTATATAATGGTATTATAACAATGCACTCTTGTCGCTTTTGCCAGTACAATTTTTTTAAACGAATTTTTAAGTAAAATAAATTGGAGCCTGTTTACACAACACTGAGCTGGCCTCCCGTTAAGAAAGTATAATTTACTCGTTAGTTATTTTAAGGACAAAACAGTAACAGTAACGTGACATACCTCATGTGCTCCATCTCAAACTGCAGAGGCTCATCAGCTCCATGGACATTATTGCGCCAGTCGCGCTGACTTCTGGGAAATGGAGTCCTGGTTACGAGGGCTGGTGACGACTAATTTAATTAGTAAACACCAAATTGTTGGGCTTTTCCGGATAATAAAATGTGTTTTATGAAGGTGGCACTCGCAAAAAAACTCAAGATTGTCCATACTTCTTCTTTACATCTTTTTATTTATTTTTATTTCAATTTTATTTTATTTATTTTCATTTTTCTACCGGGTGCACTGTGCCTAATGCTCGCCATCTGGTGGACAAATAGTGTCACTAATAAAAGAGTGTAATACTACCATTACTACTACTACTACTACTACTACTAATAATAATGACAATAATGATAATTCGTTATTATCAATTATGTGATAATGTGTTTTTAGAAAAATGAGCAATTGTAATACTAATTCATTGATGGGGGAAAAAAAACAAGATACATTTACATTTAGTTTTCTGTCCCAGTATAACTGCTATTACTACCACTACTGACAGCAATAACATTAGGATTTATAATAATATGAATAATAGGTCTAAGAGTAGTAAAAAAAAAAGTACTGTCAACATGTTGTAATATATTATTTGACATTTAGAAATTGTTTGTGATATGTTTTGGTTCGTATTACTTAAAATGAAATAAACTTAAATAAAAATCAGTGTAACTAGCGCTATTTCTGCAACTACTAGCAAGAAGAAGAAGAAGAAGAAGATGATGATTGTTACGTCTTTGTTGTGTTTCTTCGTTATGTAAATTTAACTGTGCCGTTGCCGGTTGCTGATTGGGCCAGGGTGGATGGGCGGAGCCAAGCCGATCAAGGTGGCTGTATGCAGCGCAGCAGTGCCTGATTCTGACAGGAGGATGTTTGTTTTATGTAAAGGCGCTTCTCCTAAAACTGTTGTGGGACAGGGCTCAGTGAGAGGATTGTTTTTATTTCCAGTTCAGAAGGTGCTGTTTGGGATGCTTTGATGTTGAACCATTTTTGTTGTTCTGTTGAACTTGCTGGTTTTGTTTTGTTTTTTGTTTTTTGTTTTTCTTACTTTGTTGTTGTTTTGTCAGCAGGCTTTTAGTTATAAGATCTTTTGTCTGGTTAAGTTAGGGAGCACCTTTACGCCCTGTTTCCTCCTCAGTTTTGTTGTTTTGATGAACTCCTTTAAATAATTATTGTTACTTTTAAACCAATTACATCTGGTTCTGTTGCTTCCCTTTTCTCGAGCTGGGTTGTAACAATGATGATGATGATGATAAACTAAAATAGTTAAATTACACTTTTGCAAATTACTCTGGGGAAAATCTTCCATGATATATATTCAGACTTTCATTCCATATATTCTGGACAAGAACAAATCAGTCAGAACAGGGAGAACAGCAAAGCATTTTATTTTTATTTATTCACAAATCAGAGCACAGCATCTGAAAATCATTTTTAATCATTTTTACTACACAGACAGCAATATTTATTTCATAGTTTACACAAACGTTACGGCATATAAATGCTTGGATAATATAAATAAACTCATGAACATAGAAATTCATAGGAATTGAGGGCCCATACAACACAGTAACAGGTTGAATTCCTTTTGGTGCATTTCATTTACAGATAACAAATACATGCGCTCCAACACTGTTTGACTAAAAACACGTTAAATCATAGAATGCACAGAAGATCTTTAGTAGATATCACCATGTAGCTCTGGAGGCTTCACGACTGAGCAACAAGGAGGAATGAACGCAGCTCAAAGACTGAACAAGCATCACCAGAGGAATGACAATAGATGGCAGCAGTGGGTCACATTATGATCCACTGCTATAACACTGAAGTAGACTGAAACATCCTGCACTGTCCAACTTCAGATGACTTCCTTACAAAGAGAAAAAATAACCTGTATTGTCATTATTAACTCTTTCTGTAAGCCTGATAAGTAATCTTCCACATTTATGAAGTTATGACATTCCCTCTTGTACCTACAGTTGACGACAGAGGTGTGCGATATCACTTAAATGACGACACCTGTGATCGCTGAAACAAAAAACTGCGATTTGTAGTAAAAAGACGAGCAGAACTTTCTCAGTTTTGGACTAAATCTATCCCCATGTCTGCATCATGGCTCCATGTGGGAAATACTTGTAAAAAAAATATAATAGACTTCACAAAGACGGAAACGGATACAGGAAGAATTCTGATCAAGTAAAAAAATCTCTGAGTAGTTGCAACAGGAATCAGAGCAACAGACGGTGCAATATTTACACGGCTTGGGCAACTGTTTCCGACTTAGCATCAGGGTTTCTACGTTTCTAAGAAATCTAAGTTTCTGTAACAACTCAATGACCAAACACCAGCCTTGTGTTTGGTGTGGACTTGATCAGGTAAATCCAGACAGTGAAGACAATTTAATAATGAGAGGTCTACTGAGTTTGCTGCATTGAGTTCCTACTGAGAGGCCTACAGTTTTAACATCTAAACTTTAACTTTGCATAAGAGCAGACACCTACTGATCAACTTAGAAGTCATGTGATTGTTGTAAGATGACACAAGGTTGAATCGTTTGACATTTAAGTGCACACTTTCATACTGAGAATACTGCAAATGTTAGGACCAAGATGACGAACATGGTCATTTTAAACACGCTGCGAAATATCAGCGTGTCACAGTAAAAATGTGGCAAAGCAGTATTTATTTTACAGCTTCAGAAAACAGCTCCACCATCTGAGGTCTGAGACGAAGACCTGCTGAACTTCGACCCCGACAACCTTTCCTGGCGTTTCCTCTGAAGAAGTAGTGACATCTTTTTCCTGAACTTCTCCCCCACGAATGCGTAGAGGAAAGGGTTGATGCAGCTGTGGAACAGAGCCAGGCCTTTGGTTACAGTCGAGGCAATGTCTACTGAAATCCTCATAGCACAGCCATACTGTATGAGGTCAGCCCTCATCAGCAGGTCCACCACCATGGTTATATGGTACGGTGTCCAGCACAGCAGAAACGCAATCACCACGGCTGTGATCACTCGCATGGCCCGATGCTTCTGGAAACCACGAGTGTGCAGCAGCCTCCAGATGGTGACGCTGTAGCAGCTTAACATGACCGTCAGAGGGACCAGAAAGCCGAAAACATGGAGGAACCCACGAGCGGTGAGCCTCCATAAGATGGCACTGCCGATGTCGAATTGTTCAGAGCAAATCATCCTGTTTGTATCTTTGTCAAGAACGAAGGCGTCGTTGAAAAGGGCGGGCAGAGCGAGGGCCCACCCGAGGGCCCACACGGCTGCACAGAGGAGCCGGCTGCACATCCTCTGGCGACTCCCGAGTGTCTCACTGGCGCGCACAATCACAAGGTAGCGGTCGATGCTAATGCACGCCAGGAAGATGATGCTGGTGTAGAAGTTTGCTTCGAAGATGAGGCTGATGAGCTTGCACATGAAGTCTCCAAAGAGCCAACCCCGGACCACCGACACGGCGTAGAACGGGAGCACCAGGGCCATCAGACCGTCTGCCACCGTCAGGTGAAACAAGTACACATCTGACGGAGTCAGCGGCTTCCTGCTGGTGCCGATCACCCAGCCCACCAGCAGGTTTCCCGGTATCGCCAGTAAAAAGATGGCCGTGAGGATGACACACATGGTCACGGCTGCTGTGGGTTCCAGTGGTTTTAATTCACACACAAACGTCTTTGGATTCGGGGTAAAGACACCGTCTACAACGTAGGATTCATTCTGGTCAAAGTAATCTTCATCAAAGACATAAGTGTACGACATGGCTGTGGATGGAAAACAGACTGATATAAAACACCATCATAGCAATGAGAACACTCCACCAGAAAATTTGACAAAGTTACACTTAGAATCATGCAACATATTTCTTTTGAGTGACTTTAAAAACTACAAACATTTTTTTTGTCATCATGTTTGTGCAGCTTTAAAGTGAGCCTACATAATCTTTGCTCAACAGCTGCTACTGTGAGTATGGGCGAACCGTAAAGGGGACGTTTTCTCAGTGTTTTTACTCTAGAACTCAACTGAAGTAGCTTTACATGATTGACTACTTTTTTTAAAATCCTCTGTGTAACCTCTCTATTTAATCTCTGTGTGAAACATTGTTTTAGCTCCCGCGTCTTTAAGGCGTCCCTCCCTAAAAGCCCACCTTCTTCTGATTGGCCAACTTCTGGAAGCCTGCACCCTATGCTCGTAAGCTGGTGCTGCCTGTATTCATTTTTGTATATTTTTACATACATTGATCTCATAATCTGAAACTTTGGCCAAGTTCATTATGCACATCTGACATTGTACCGTTAATCTCTAAATACACATATATATATATGGCAGAAAACAAGGAAGAGCCTAACAAGTTCCCTTTAAACTGTAGAGAAGCTCAAAGTAGTTAAGAGTAAATGTAGACAGTAAACTGACTCAGTAATGTCAGTTACACAGAAATATCTACATGAGCAACCGGCTGGTCATGTCAGTGTTTCAGCACACACCAGTTTAGTTTTAGCAAGTTTTATTAATTAAAAGTATAATCCCTGTAGTTTCCATCAAAAAGAGAATAAATCACTTCTGATACTCACCTTTTGTGCTGGATTGACCGCCGCCTTCAAAGATGACAACAGCTTTACGCCCAAATGAGGCAAAATGAAATGCCAAAGAGCATCCCTCTAACACTGACGCAACTTTTTTTTTTTTTTTCTCATAAGCTGACCCAATGTTCTGTGCCCTTTCCCAGCAGGTTACTAAACACCCATGTGATCACATGTATATGGTGAAACCTTCTGACACGTAAAGACGCCAACGACAACTGCCAAAACGGATAAGAAACATGTAGCTGTAAAATAAAACCATTTCCTCGACAGAAAAAGAAAAAAACTTAAACAATACAAAAGCAGATTTTAAGACGGAGATGAATTAAGTCGTACTTTGGGAGCGAACTGTCATCAGTTAAACATAACCTAAATAAAAAGACACTTTTTCAAACTAAACGTTTCCTGTTTTAGGAAGAAAGTAGCAAGAAATTCTCTAAAAAATCATTATTCTGGTGTTTTGGAAATAGAAATAATGTTGGTAATTCTGACTGACCTAAAACAGGAAAAGTTTCATCTGATTTAATGTCAGATAGTGAGAAAAAAAGAAAAGGCTCTACACCTGTCACCAGTGTGATGTTGTGTGATCAGATCATTTTACTGTTTCTCAAAATTCAACATAAAAAATACTTTCCTCATTTGAATGTGCAACATCACGCTCACTAACATCAAATCTTTTTACTTTAGTGTTTATTTCTATAAATGAACTGATGCTTCAGTGAACAACGTCCTCTCTGTGCCTGCTGCATCATTATGTCACTGGCTTTGGGGAACCAGCTGTGTGGCAAAGCGTTTCATAAATCAGAAGATTGCTGAAATGTTCTCACTCCTACGGTTGCAAAAGCCTGGTGTTACTCCACTCATCTGTTCTTACGCTTTGTCTCTAAACTATAATTAACCAGCGTGTGTCCTGTTTTTAGTGATGCATTGTTATTTCTGTTATTTCGGTGGGAATTTCTGGGCAGGAGCCGCGGCGCGAAAAACATCAGTGAGCACGCGGAGAAAAATGATAACTACATGGTTATAATGACAGGGGACCGTCGGAGGCCGCCCTCCTCTCGCTCTCTGCATTAAAAAAAAAAATGTACATCCAGACACACCGCTGCCTCCCCTTTGTCTCCAAAAATCACTTCAATCAGGTTTTGAGCTTGAAGACGACATGCAACGATCAGGATGTTGCCACACTGCCCTCATCAGCAAGTCCCCGAACGAGAACGGCCTGTTTCTGGTTCCTGGAGACTTTGGCTGTTTTTCTGTTTGTGGTTTCATATCCTGTCACACTTAGACCGACTTCATGCTTGAGCTGAATCATGTTTGTAACTGTTAAAGTTCCCAAGAAAGATTTAAAATAATGAAGAAGAAAGCATGAAACTGTGGAAAACAACGATTCAGTTGGTTTTGCTTTCCGGTAGTTTGTAGCTATAGAAGCTCCCTCAGGAGATTTTAGATTCCCAGCAGTAAATCGCCCGCTAGCTTCTCTCTTTGTCTTCATTTCTTTGTTTCTGTGTCTCTTTTTCTTTCCACTTTTCTGTAAGTTCATTCCAACTTTTTTCTTCATCCGATGTAGGACGTAAAAGAGAGATAGTTCATCTTATACCTCACATTCTTTGATGATAAACCAAATCGATGAATGCTTTAAAATGCGGGGATCAGGGTACCAGGATGCGGACGGTGTGTTTGTATCGGCTGGGAGCAGGCTGAGAAAAGGTCAAAGGTTGATGTCGCAATGGACGGAAACGCAGGTCTAGTTTCATTCAGCAGACGCTTTTATCCAAAGTGGCGCACATCTGAGAGCAGATAGAACACAAGCAAGGACCTAGTGAGGAGAAAACAATCCAGATAAGTGCCACAGAACAAATTCAAGTGTGATCGGGCGTCGATGCCAACAGCAGGCCGGCTGTCAAGTGCAAAGGTATTCAGTGAAGAGCTGGTCTTTAGTCTTTTCTTCAAGACTTAGAGAGAGTCAGCAGATTGAACAGAGTTTGGTTCCACCACCGTGGAACCACAGAGGAGAAGAGTCCAGCTATCGACCTCGGGCCCTGTCGCCGTGGTTGTATCGGGTGGTTTCGGTTGGTCGAGTGTAGTGAGCAGAAGGGAGTGTAGATCTGAATGAGAGCGCTCAGGTAGGAGGGAGCTGTTCTCATTGTGGTTTTGTAAGCAAGCGTCAGGGTTTTGAATTTGATGCGGGCAGCAACTGGAAGCCAGTGAAGCGATCTGAGCAGCGGGGTGACGTGTGATGTTTTTGGTTGGCTGAAAACCAGATTGGTTCAACAAACACGTCGTTGAAGAGTTCAATTGCTAAAACAGATCACTCCATTTTTGTAGGTTTTCAGAAAACGTTTTTTTTTGTTGTTTGCTTGAGATAATATCAAACAAATTGAAGCTGAGTGGATTTGACTCAGTAGACATGACAACAATAGGGATTAGTCAAGTTTGATATTGTCTCAGGTAGACGATGGAAAAGTGGGTTTAGTTATCTGTTTTTGCAAATGATCTCTTCAGTTGTAAACAAAAGCTGACGTACACTCGTGAAGGACGTGTCCCTTGTAGTTTCTTAGAAGACGTCCAGCTAAGCTGCAGCAAACCGTGGACCTGGTGTATTTGTTTTGCTACTGTATCGCGTTTCTTTTCAGAAAATAACTTGGAAGTTGGCACAAACACCAACTTAACGGGAAACGGGCTCACGGTCCACTTCTGTGGAAGGGCTGATTGACATCTGGATACTTTTCAGTCTTGTTCCAGTGAACAGAAAATGTTTGTTCTGCAGCTGACAGATTGTGATCTTCAAAGGTTTGTGTGCTGAGGTCAGATGCCGTAAGATCCCACGCGACTCCATCATCTCGTCAACGTGTTTGTTTGGAACCCGAAACTGGACAAGATTCCCTGTTTATACACCAAATTACGCTCGGAATGTGTTTTTTGGAATTTCACTGCTGCAGGCTCTGACCTTGCAGCATCACCTTATTGTCACCTCCCTGACGCTCAGCACTGATTTATATAATATTATAAGATAAACTGTATATTACACGCTTTAAATAAACTCCACTCAGCTTCCACTCTGCAAGAAATGATCTTGAACTAGTTCAATTTTAGGGACTGAACTTAGTTTGAAGTTTCATATTTCTAACTATCACCTTGAGTTGCTTCATTTTTAGCCTCTGGACTCCAAACAATGTGATCCCGTCGCCTTTTTATTTCCCTGTGGCCTCAGTTTTCACTGCATTAAAGTCCTGCACCTTTACGGAAACAACACACAAGAGGGTTTTTTTTTACTTAATGTTGTTTCACTATTTATTTATCATTGATCATCGATACTTGTCACCGACTGCAGCTCAGCCAAAAAAACAAAACAGAATTTTTGTCGATTTTTAGGTTAATTTATTTATTTTATTTTTTTAGTTTTTACAGAATCTAGTTTTTCTTTTGACATGTTTATAAATTAAACATGTCAAATAAAAATTATTTTGATTAAAACATCCCAACTTTCAGCTTAGATTTGCTTTAATTCTCAGATGGAACAACACATTAATGACGACTAGTTCAAGGGCCCTCGGAAAGTTGAAAATCTGACAAATTCTTCAGTTTTTACAGTTTCTGTCTCTGATAAATGGCGTCATTTTGGTGTTTTCTTTAAACGATAACACGCCTTTCAAATCTCCCAGCAGGTTTCGGAGAGTTCATGAACTGAACTGAACCGCGTCCTTGTTAGGTGTGAGATCACATCACATTATGCATCAAAGTGTGGCTTATGCAGAAAATGGCCTCTGTGAATACTTACTAAAACTTTGTTACTGGATTTATTTGTAGCTGTGTCCATTTCTTTAACCCCTGACTGCTTTAAACATCTGCTACAATCCTTAAATCCTATAAAATGTAATCGTCAAAAGACACATGTTTCCCTCTCTGATCTGACGGTTTCTGTCGACTGAGTCACTGTGAGAATAAACACATTTAAAGGGTCAGTCCGCTCCCTTATTCGTCCCTCATTTACTCCCTTGCAGCGCAAGATACAGTAGTTTCGGTTTAACACGCAGACGCTTTGAGATATCTGCCTGGAATTTTGTTTGTAGTGCTAAAAGCCTTTTTACAAGCTGAACAGATAACAGGAGGTTTTTATCTAAGGTACACATGGTGGACAGGTGGAAAGGAAGAAGAAATCAGGTGGGAGAGAAGGGTGAATTCCTGCATATAAGTGGAGGTCTGTGGCTGCAACGTAAAAGAACTAAAAGACTGTGACATTGGCTTTTAAATCTTAGCATTATAGGAGTTTATTTATCACAATCTTGAACTTCGTCTTGTTGGTAAACCGCTGAACTGGATGACTGATGATTATTTGCATCTACCTTGCAATTACACAGAAGACTTGTTCGTGTTCCATCATGTTAAAGAGCCTCAGGGCATCAAAACATCTGGATCTGCTTATCTGAAATAACCATCTAGATTATATTTGGTTTACAGTCGTCCTCAAATGTATTCAAACCCTCCCATTAAAGAAGGAAAAAAACAGCTGCCACTGAAATAAGCTGAATTGAGATTTTGGCCCACTGCTCATCAGCAAAGTGCTCCAATTTGTCCATTATTATTATTATTTAAACTATTCTTCTCAACCACAATTCTAAAGCAATGTCTTAATTCACTAAATTATTATTTAGCATTTTTTAAATTTATTATCACTTTTTTCAGTTTCTACTTATTTCAGTGACTATTGTGAATTTTGCCTTTTCTTTAATGGGAGGGTGTGGACACATTCGAGGACGACTGTAAGAGTTTGCACAGCTGGAAAAGAATCTCACTTGATCTGAAAGTGAAATGACAAAATAAAGCTCATGTACTCACCAGACGCCTTACCTGAAGCCTCAAAGGAGGGAAACGATCAGCCTCGGTCCCTTTAACTCCTCTTCAGTGGGACACTAAGGAAGAAAACCCCTGAGATGAGATCGAAGGCAGTCGGGCTGGAGGAGAAAGCATCACAAGCAGCGGACGAAAGTTCACTGAGCAAAAGCAGGAAAGAAAATGACATGAAGGAAACTGGCATTAACTTCATGACGACAGACAGCGACTGGACGACAAAGATTGTAATTATTTAAATTATTGGGGCAGCTGCTTGTCCGTCGCACGGTTGGTAATCCTGTCTGGTGCTGTGTGATGCTCTAAGTACTGAAAATTATGTATATCTATGATGCCTAAAGAAGTTATAATGTGTTTAAGAACAGGGTAATATCTTATTTTACAATAACAGAGATAATATCAGGAGGTTTTTGTATGATAGCTTCTGTTACTGTCATTAATCTCCTTTTCTAAAATATGGAACAAGTCGTTTTTGTTTTGTTCTTAATGCTAACTGAAACTCTGATGTCCAAGTTTCAGTAATTACAGCTACAGTACGAAGTGGGAGCAGCATGAGACGACTATAACAGTAAATAACCAAAATGTGGGGCAACAGGTAGCTGAGTAATAATGAAAACATATTTATTATGTCATAAGTTGCTGTATTTTGATGTATTATCAACGCAGACAGACAGAATTTTTTAATGTTTTGCTGATGGGTGATTTTTTTCCCCCTCAAATACTCTTCAGCCTCACAAATAACTCAAAAGTCACCTGTACCTCTAATTAGTCTGTGCACATCACATGAATTATAACATTAACTATCAAATAAATACCCAAATGAAATTCAACAGACCTTCTGCCAACACTTAATTAAACGCATGGTTGCAAGATGGGAACATTAAGTTTACTGATTTAGATCAATCTTTTATTTATTTATTTTTTTGGATGAGTTGTGTTGACATAATAATGTTGCACCAGAATAACATAGTGCAACTTTTTAAAACTCAAATTTCTGTGTTAATTGATTCAAAATTTAATTTAAATTGAGGTAATTTAAAATAATTGACTTGATAGCTTCATTTAACACAACAATGCTGAACATAACTGGATAATTTTGGATTACAATACCTGTTTAGTGCAGGAAAGGAGGTTTAAAAGTTTAACATAATTATTGCACCATTTTCAGCGAAAGTGTGATGCAGGTGCTGGTGAGAGAAAGAAGCTCATCCAGTAAATAATTACTACTTCT